CGATACCAGGTAATATTCAAGATACACACCAACCACTCGGTATATATACTGTATGAGAATTCCCTAGTAAAAAATTCCCTAGCCAAAAATTTAAACACCGATACCAACAACAAAGTCAATTTCACATGGACGACGTTTGCAGAACTTTCGGTGACGGATAACGAGTGTTCATCAGGGTCAGGAGCAGTGGGTGGTCGGACACCTAGAACAGGGAGTAACGTTTAAGGTAGTTTTACATTTAAAAAAAAGTTACTAAGGTATAGAGACTAATGGACCAGACGGCAGATGCTGAGAATGTTCTTCAGGGTGTATCAGGATATCGTCGACCATGGAACCGGAGTGATAGAAGGTAGAGGGGAAAAAGGGGGTCTGTGGTGGTTTGCTCGGAGGGGTCAGGCGGGGTCCAGGGGGTCGCGTCGAGCCGAGTGTAAGCGCAATGCAGCGCAGAAACCGGTCGCTCCATGTCCACTTCATAAGAGATACGCCGCATGCCGCAGATACGCGGATACTTTTATTTTAACCGTAATGCGCTAATGAATTGATACAGCGCTGAGAAGCTCCTTGGGTTCCCTGGTGCCCCTTCACTCCGTCCCTATCTCTTTGCTCACTCGGCGCTCCTCCATTTTTGTTCGCTACTTTTACTTTTATTTAATCTCCCACACCGCCCCAATCCCTCCGGAAAGACCAATATACAGCTGTCTCTGCCCTATGGGAGTATCAAATGATTGTTATTGTTATTGCATTTAATGTGTATCATTATAGTATACATCTACCAACGTAATAAATATCTCGAAGTATCATAGTTTCGAGTTTCCAGTACACCAAGTGGAATGTCGCGACGGGTCCTAGGGCCGAGCGTCGGGACGCTCGTTAAACGTTAAGGCTTAAGCTAGGATACGGTATTCGCTCCTGGGATGAAATTATACAAGGGGAGATGCCTGAGCTCTGGTTCCTGGTGGATGAAGAGGCTGCAGCCGTAAGGGGATGAAGGCTAAGAACGAACGGTGGTTGGGAATCGTGTGTGCCTGAGGTAGACGGAAGTGGGACCTGTAGTTGGATATCCGGTACCGGTGGCACTGAGTAACCAAGGGTAATTCGTTGGGGCGATACGGCCCTGGATTCCTTCTAGAAGGAAACGTCTCGGGATCGATACCTGATAAATTGATCCCAATCGGCACTAATGTCAGGAATAAAAGGTTTTAACGATGCGTAATCGTACGACCAAATCCAGATGGTGGGTAAGAAGAGTTGGCTGGACCAGGAGCCACCGGTTTTCTAAGATCGCTCGCAGTAGTTTCCAATCATTTATGAGAGAGACTGGAGTGATGTGTGGACGGGTAAGAGAGTCAAAGGGTGAGAGAGAGAGAGAGAGAGAGAGAGAGAAGATCATGGACCAATACCCAGAGTCTCCAAGAGCTCTCACTTTGTTATCTAAATCGCTGTACATCAGCCGGCATAATATTATCGTAAATAGCGTCGATATATTTGAGCCGAACACGTTTAATTGACTATTTGAATAATTATTAAGCGGTCATCGACGTGAATACAGACGGAGGGACTATTAAGCCTGAAGAGACAAGACCCGGAGACAGAGACCGGACCCAGTGGACCAGCCATGTAAGTCCAGGACCACATGCTACGGATATCGTAAGAGGCAACGAGGACCGAGGGAGAACGAAGTGGAGCGAAGTGGAACGGTTGGCCGCGTGAGAAGCCGCGTGCCATAGGAAAGAAGGAAAGAAAAAGAAAAAAGAGGAGAATCAGAAGGAAAAGAGGCAAGAGGTTTACCTATAGGCATAATAGCATTGCCGGAGGCTGGTAATGAATTCGTCTAATGGGTCGTAAAGAATGCGATCTTATGGGGCGTACCGGGATAAAATAAAACACCGGAGAGGCTACCGATTTTAAAAGTGGCGCTTAAACTAACCCTGGGCCTTTAAAGCAGCAGGCCTGTACCATAAGTATGCACTACCTTGAGCCAGGTAGTCTAGCGCGTCGCGGGAGAACCGATCTGTCTGATATCAAGTGTAGTTTAAGGAGGTCGACCGGCTTCTGGATAAGAAGTAATACTCATCCTCGAGGACACTGGGTAGATATCTGATATGGGCATGCGCTTTTCCCAAGTGCATCCGATATCTATAACGTGTACACACACGTGCCCATCCGTCCTCTGGACGTCCCTAAAGATCTCTCCAGGTACTGCGCCAACTTCAGGAACACAAATCTCCTGATGCACCCGCGACTGCTTGTCCTTGCGTCCTTTTCTCGTCCTTCTACGCCAAACTGAGCGAACGGGGGTTCGCACCGTGGACGAGGACCAGGTCGACTCCTCTCTGGGAGCCAGGACAATCCGGGTAAGGGCAGTCCGTCTTGGACACGTCCGGGCGTTCCTGTTCTTTATGTGCTACCAAAAGAGCTATGGGACGCCTAGTCACTATCTATACCAGCAGTCCGTCTCCCAATGTACCTTCGCGTATGTGCACATACGTCCAATGGCCAGTCTGTATATCTATACAGTAACGTTCACCGGCTTCCCAGCATCCGACTGGACCACGATCACATAACGAACCCAGTGGCCAACTGGAAGGCCAGTCTGCCAGCGGTGAGGCAGTCGGGAGCAGTGAGGCCAACTTCAAGGTATTAGAGCCACCAGAAACCCCAAAGATCTGAAGATAGGCAAGATTTGTGGGGGTCCAGGTCGCCGATAACTGCTGTCCGTAGCGAGCGCTCACGTACCTACTTCATGGCTGGACCATCGATGACATCGAAGCTTAATCCGATCGGACCGGGCTACGGTACAAATGCCTACTAGAAAAAAGGACGGAAGCGCCATGGCCATGGTGCCGGTCAACCGGAACCGGGTTACACATATTTTCAAGTTATTTCTTTATTTTTCCTTTTTCTTTAATTTCACGAAATTACACCGCTTTCAGGTTTTACTGGGTACCCTCGATGAGCGCACTACACGCGTAGTACCTACTCGTGAGTATGATGAAGATGTCAGTTGGCCGCGGACGCGTGGGAGAGCCAGCTGGAGATCCTGGCGCTCGCTAGGTGGGTGTTTGCACCTTCGTGTTGCTCAGTGCCAACGACAACATCGCCAATGGAGATACAACCGCTGATGGATATTCTACCTTTCGTCTTATTTATGTTTTGAACCCAGGTAGACGATCCTGTGGTATACTTACACCTTTACTATACGTATATACATTTATGCATAGCTATATACTGTGACGTGATTTTTCGATTCACAGGCACAAGGCGACTCCGGCTACCGGCTCAGATAACGTACTCGATTTTTGGTTCCCTTCGGGTCGCCACCCTGGTCAGAAGCTTCGCTCTCGGGTTGCTTCGTATAGTTACGCCAATGCTCTAGAAAGATTTCGTATTGTTCAGTTGAGGTCGAGGTGCTCGAATCTGCCGTGGGGAGATAGTCTCGAAGTACCGAGTTGCCCGGCAGAGGAGACGACCCGACGGAGACGTCTCCACCGACCAGCAATGCCCACCCGAGTATCTCCTGGATGCAGTTCTCGGCCTTCACGGATCAGCTGCACCAGTTCCGGTGAGTCTCCCAATTTATTAATTGGTGAAGGAATTTCGATTTGATCCTTCCGATTCGTTTCTGCGACCCCAGAGATGAAAAGCTACATTGAGTTTCTCGATTTTACGCGTCCCCAAAAATCTACAGGATCCATTAAGTTATCGCCTTATCTGATAAGTTCCGTCAGACCTCGTTTTGGTGGGGTTGGACCTGGTCCGCCCCAGCTGCCAGGTCATACCGGCTCATCAGTTCCCGGTGAAAAAAGAATTGGCTGGCGGCCGCCTGGCTTGCGGATGCATGAGCGAAGGGTGGACGGCCGAAGGTAACGTACCAGGTTAGTTCTCGGATTTTTCGTTACCGGTGTCGAGTTAAGAAAATACGTTACAATATATATACATAGAGATTGACAAAAGTTGTTCTCCTACCAAAAAGCCAGCAGGAGCAAGTGGCGCCTACATATATTGTCAAATTTAACCGAGAGCGAATCATCACCGCCGTTATAAACGTCCGGGTCATTTATGCTCGCGTAAAGATATCGCAGCCAGTGACTAACAAGGTATTTTGCCTGTCGGCGGCGCCTCGTCCGATATTCGGGTTACCATAACATCGTAAATCCCACGTATCCAAGCACCGCCTAGGATTCGTAGCATTTCGGATAGATCGGATCAAAGCATCGATACTTTGTTGCCGTATCGATCGAGATCGTTAAATACCGACAATGCTTACTGCTTTACTTCTACGAAAGATTCAAAGGAGATCTCCGGTACCACCGACAACTTAAACTCGGACTCATCCTGATCGCGCGAAGCTTGGCTCATTATAAATAAATAGCTAGACAGCCGTCATTCCTCCGCCATTAAATATTTGCCTTGGCATTTATTACAAATATGCTTAAATCACGTGGTCGAGCAGCGCCGTATAAACAGGAGAGGTTACGCGGATCTGACTGGTGGCGCCACCTGCGAGAAAAATCCGTTTTTCGTATATTAATTTTTTTTTTTTTTTTCATCTTCCGTCACTCGTACGTCCAAGGTCCTTAGGCATATTTGGGTATTCGTTTCCTCCTAACCTTCGTCCCTGCCACTCGTTGGCCCGGTCGCTGCGTGAGCAAAACGTGACGTGTCTCCGTGAAGCTTCGCGAAGCACTGACGGCTCACTGCCGGTGCAACGGATACATCTGTTGCGTGGAACTTACACGTCGACGAGCACGTTACACCAGAGGCAGAGGTACCCTCCTCGGAGGGCGCCCCTGACAGAGTTACGAGACATGCGCACACAAACAACTCGCGGCTCTCCTCCTTTATTTGGGCAGCCGCTGTGATATGCTGCGGCTATGTCATGCCGTGGCTACGTAACGTTGCCGTGCGCCATCTAGAAAATACATACAATCCTTAATATCCGGCAGTCAGTTTTCTATCGGTCTCAGCCCATATATTTTCTTGTTGCGTTGGTACTGACT